AATTGTCAAGTAATGTCACTCAACTGCTCACAATTCTCTTTCTCACTTAGAGGAAACACGCAAGTCCTAATAAATGCCCAGAAGATCCTATATCAGTGATCAGGAGCAGGAAATGAACAAAACCTGGGGTGGGGGAATTAAGACAACAACAAGGCCTTTACGGCCCCCAAACCAGCTACACCAATCACAGGAGCTGTGTGATAATCTTCAGGGTCTCCCAGGTGATTAATTTTTATGTAATTGTTATGATGAAATTTGAACATACATAAAATAAGGCAAAATAATATATTGACTTCCAATCACCCATCATCATCCCATCCCTGAGCTCCCAACCTGTGGCCAACCTGCTCATTCGAGTCCTCATTCAATTCCATCCAGTTCAATCTTGCACTATTATGGAGCAAATCCCAGACATCATCTCATTCTATCCATAAATATTTCAGTATGGAGCTTGGAAAGTGAAGGACTTCTCAGCATAACCGCAAGAAGTTGCTCGCTCCTTTAAGGCATTGCAACTTAGTAGGTACCCAAGGACTTACTGAATTGATAAAACTGTACCCTCCATCGGAATAAAACTTCACGCGTGTGGCATTGTGTAAATATTTGCTGAATAAGTGCATGCGTGAATGATTCAATTGGGTAATAAATATGCCTCCGCCGAAGTCAGTGTGATGATGGGATAAAGGGTAAGAAGTCAGATAAACAGATACTCTATCTCATAAAGCTTAGAGAAAAGTCATACAATTTTGTAAACATGAAAAGGTGAGAATCATTAACAGGTAATACATTCACATGAGCTATTAATGGAAGTGAGGGTGTTGGAAATAAAATCCTAAGCTCCGAGGTTAACATCCAGAAGGACGACTGTTTTCTTTTATCAACAATCCTTTGGGCTGCGAGTCCTGTAGAAGTAAGCCAGGCTGGTGAAAAGGGGAAACCACACAGGCAGAAAGCAACAGTTGCCATATATTGGTCAAGTTTAGGAGACAGAAACACATAGGCACAAGTTTCTATGTTGTTGTTTTTTAAAGATTTATTTATTTATGCATACAAGAACTGGGGTACAGGCCCGTGGTGCAGGGGGTGAGAGGATTCACCAGAGACAGAGTGGGGAACAGAACAGGCAGACAGACTGAGATACACTGCTGAGGGGAGCAGCGGGGAGACAGGAGAGGTCTGCTGCACCATGTGAGTTGGCTCCCTGGCCGGGGATCCAACTCGTGCTGCAGTGGCTGCAGATAGCTTCACAGGCTGCGTCTTAACCCCTTGCACCACCAGGGAGGCCCAGAAGTTTCTATATTTTATATAAAAAAATAGAGTGAAATAGAGTGTGGCAGTCCAGACCTAAGTAGGCAAAAGCCCAGTGTCCTTGCGTGCTAAGCATTCCTATTCTTTTTTTTCTGAAAGATTTATTTATTTATGCATACAAGAGCTGGGGTACAGGACAGAGGTGTGGGGGGTGAGAGGATCCACCAGAGACAGAGTGGGGAGCAGAACAGGCAGATCCACTGAAATACACTGTTGAGGGGAGCAGCGGGGAGACAGGAGAGGTCTGCTGCGCCATGTGGGTAGCTCCCTGGCCAGGGATCGAACTCGTGCTGCAGTGGCTGCGGACAGCAGGAGATAAAGTCCTGCCGAGATGTGCACAGATTTCCTTCCTGCCTGCCTTGTGACTTGGGGCGGTAGGAGCCCAGGCTTCTCCTTTCTTCCTGTCAGAAGTCATAGGAGATGCATGTCTCTCGTGATCTGGTATCTGTCAATTCACGGGTTCCGTCCAGAAACATTCAATATTGTGCCAATGAGCCTACTGCCCCGACTTGGCCCACCAGAATTTTCCTTTACTGCTTGGAGAAAACTAAAGAACTGGGTCCTTTTCATGGAACAGAACATTTCTTCTTCTTCTTCTTCTTCTCTCGCTCTCTTTTTCAAACTGCTCAATAGCGTTGTCCCCTATATCATCCATTCACCGGAGCCACCTAATCCCGCTGGCTCCTGAGTCCCCAGGAGTAGCTCGAGCACTCGTGAGTGGCCGTCCACGCTGCACGGAGGGCAACCAGTTCGCCTCATGATGCAAGAAAGAGAACCTGGCTTTTCATGTTTGCAACGTTGCCAAACCTTGTATGTTTGTAAACACCATCAAATATGTTATAATGTTTACAGCATATGTCTCTTATTGTTAAGAACTATTGTAGAAGTACGAGGAGTCTACTTCTTAAAATATTTCTTATATTATAGTTATAGCATCCAATTATACAATAGTAATTGTGAATAATTATACCAAACCCCAGTCTGTTTTATGACTACTTCTCATGCTGAGCTCATACGCTCTATATAAACACCATCTGTATCAAACATAAAACTCTTAGTTGTTCTAAGAACACAGGCTTACAGAATGCGATTTATTAGTTTGGGGCCAACCAGTTTCATGGCTATTGCCCTGGCCCCCCAGAACTGCATGAATCCCGGCTCCCCTCCCCACTTCTTCCTCGGGCTTCCTTCTGTTTCATTGACTTGGAGCCCAGTTACCTGTGTGCTCAAGCTCGCGCTTGGAAACTTGACCTGTGTTCCCAGAATGCTGACAGGCTTCTGCAGAGTTTTTATTTAGCACTGAGTGTGCTTAATTTGCTCTGCAGAGTTCTGTTCCTTCCCTATATGTGCAGCGGTGATGTAAGCACTTGAGCTTGGCCAAGAGGTGCTTCCCCAATGTCCCTTTGTAAATTGCTGTTGAGGTCTCTGGGTGCCAGGCTGCTCCTCAGAAACCCCCCCAGTGGAGCTTCCCATAAGAAGCCCCTCACCAGCTGAAAGGTTGAACCTTTCACTAGAAGGGACTTTAAAAAGGTGATTCTGAACTCTAAACTACTTTTGGCTTAAGAATTTAAACCTCTGGGCCCCCCCTGGTGGTGCAGGGGTTAAGTCTCCACACTATCAAGGCATCACCAGCCACTGCAGCACGAGTTCGATCCCCGGCCAGGGAGCTGATCCACATGGCACAGCAGACCTCTCCTGTCTCCCCGCTGCTCCCCTCAGCAGTGTGTTTCAGTCAGTATGCCTGTCCTGCTCCCCACTCTGTCTCTGGTGAATCCTGTCACCCCTAACCCCCCACCTCTGGCCGATACCCCAGTTCTTGTATGCATAAATAAATAAAATAAATCTTTTTAAAAAATAAGAAAAATTTAACCTCTATGGCCAAAGACCAAACGTATTCAAGAGTTTGACCTCCATATTTCATGCAAACTATGAACAAACTCCATATTTGGTCCCCAGCAGACAAGTAAGTTGTTCGTTAGCAATAAACAAACTTCAGACACACCCTGAAAATGAACAGTTTCATCACAGGAGCTAAATTCAATCCAAGAAAGATAAATCGTGTTCATTTTTTTTTAAAGATTTATTTATTTATGCATACAAGAAGAGCTGGGGTACAGGCCAGAGATATGGGGGGGTAAGAGGATTCACCAGAGACAGAGTGGGGAACAGAACAGACAGATTGACCAAAGTACACTGCTGAGGGGAGCAGCAGGCGAGACAGGAGAGGTCTGCCGTGCCATGTGGGTAGCTCCCTGGCCGGGGATCGAACTCGTGCTGCAGAGGCCACAGACTGCTCTGTAGTGCAGTGCTTGACCCCTTGCGCCACCAGGGAGGCCCTCGTGTTCATTCTTAATCATCAGTGCATTTTGCTGGGAAGATCAAGCAGCACGTTCCTGGGTGCCAAGTGACCTAGAACAAGTCATCGCCAAGCTAAATTGCAAAATTTAGCATATTTAAATATTGAAAAATTTCCGTGAGAGAAGTCCTGCTCTCCTTGCTTAGGAATTAAACTGTAAGTAAACAATATATTTGTTTAGAAGAAATATCTACCTCCCAATAGCAATGATGACTTTATTTTCAAGAGGAAATTGGGGCATTTTCCCCCCATGGAACGAGGCTCTGCTTTGGGAAGAACTAGAGTTGTACTCACTGTTCATTGGCCAGAATATTCTGAACATCATTAACAAGTTCCATGCTAGATAGGCCAGCATTCAGCTGCAATTTATAAAGATGTTATTATGGGGGGAAATGGTGCCAGTTTTCCAGGTAACTGTCTAAACACGCAAAGATGGATGTCTTCATTTGGCATCTCGGAGAGCACATGCGAGGTCAGGCCGTGCGTAGGTAATTTCCTCGAGCGATTATTTGTCCCCTGGAATTCCACACACTCAATTCCAATTATAGAAGAGAGGATTAAGAATGGGCAGAAGGAGAGGGTGAAACAGCGGGCCTGAATGATTTGGACTAAGATCTTGTATCAAATTTGCAAATTAGCAATTAAGGCAGGTTTAGAATGTGGCATCATTTTCGCTCATGGTGACAAACTGAAAATTAAGGCTCTCTCTGCATGTCAGAGCGATGACATGTAACAAGGAATGTCGTCAAAAGATCCTGGTGACAATGCCGCTTTGGATGCATGGAAGAAGAAGGCGGCCAAAAGTCGGATAATAAACATCAGACGTGGTCTCAAGCTAACGCTAAGTCACTCAGATACCTTGCAAATGGAAGCCCCCAGCTAGCTGTTCACGGCATGCTCACCCACGCCTGTGCCATGGACGAAGATGTGAGGATCGTCATTCATTTCTGATGGATCTTAGCAAGGGGCTGTTTGCAAAGTTGCGTTAGTACTTTGTTCATTTCAAAGTTAAGACGATAATGAAATCTTAAGAACTGGGCATGAAAGATTAGCGGTCCTCACCTCTGGATTTCCTGTGACAGTGGCGACGTGTGGTAGGGGACACACAACTTAAGCACACGGACATGGTCTTGGAAATGGAGTGGGAACCATTGCGGCAGCGTGCAGGAGTTTGTAGTACCACCCCCAGGGAGAGGCGCCCCCCACCCAGCTGCCGCTGAGCAGGAGCTCAACATGGAAGCCATTCACTGGGTCTCTGAAATAATGCACACCCACCCCGTGTCTCCCATCTCAAGCCTCCTTAAAACAACTTTCTTTTTCTTTGTAAACACATCAGGTAAAATATGCTGTGAAGATTTGAACATCACAAGTCAAAGCTGAACATCACAAGTCAGAGCTGTTTACCTGGATACAGAATCATCACAGAGAGATCTGGATGAGACTGGCAGTTGCCAAGTGGCATTATAGTCCATTGAAGACATAGGTAGGTGGTTCCCACTCTGGTTACTGCCTGAAGCCAGGGGAAAGCATGGGTTAACTGGTATTGTGATGGATTTCTGTTCTCTACCTGTCTTTCTGTCTTTCCATCTATCCATCCGCCTGCCTACCTACCACCTACCTACCCACCACCCACCACCTGTCTCTATTCATACACATCCTATAGACAAATAGAAGACAGATATAAATATATGTCAAATGTATGTCACACAAATAGCAGAAGATAAATGAAATAATAGGAGACCTAGAGTGAGAACATTTCCATTCCAGTTCTCACTGTGCCTTTTATAAACAAAGAGCTACTGGAACAAGTCACAACTCCCCCTGTGCCTCAGTTTCCTGATTTGTTACCAGAGGTTAACTCCTGCCCTATCTAGAGGTGAATAGAATGAGGTAAGCTACAGAAAACTGCTTTGAAAAGTACAGAGCACTATACAAATGCCAGGGATAATGAGGTGTTTTACAAAAGAGTATTATTCCTTAGCTAAGAAGTGAACAGCCACATTCACGTTTTCTCTGAAGGTTCTTCTTTGAAATTAAATTGAGACCATAACCAACATCCCTCCCAGGGCTGCCTGAGGTTTTACTCAGCAACAAAGCAAGGGCTTCTTTTCATCATTCATAACATTTGAGTTCAAGCACCGAGTGGTACTTTTTACCAGTGGTGAAAATAGCTTTCTTTTCCCAGCAAAAACACAGAAAATGATCTCCCTCTTGATGCGCATGGAAGGACGAGGCTTATTCTAGTTGCCACCAAAAAAGGCCTTGATTTGGCTTCGTCCATGCAACGCTCTTAGACTGGGAAGAAGGGAGTGGTGTGAGGAAGGCCACGGAGTGCTATTTTATTTACCAATGTGAATAATTAAAATATTGGGGTGTATTTTCAAGTGGAATCTTGACCCATTCTCCTTCCAGCTTCCGCGGCCAACTGCATACTCCCTTCCAAATAGTGTATTAAGAAAACACTCTTCATGCCTTCTGTCAATCCGATGATGCCCTTCCTTATCAGAGGCCTTGGTTGCTGCTTAAGCAGTCCCCAGCCGAGCATCATGACTTTCTACAAATCGGGTCCCAAACTTCCTTTCTAGAACCTTCTCCTGCTCACCTCCTCCAAAGCACAGCACGTGCCGTTGTGCTTGTTTCTCCACTGCTGTTGTGACAGTGTCAGTACTTGCTTTATAAAAGGCTCTTCTGCTCCCTGGAGCAGATGTGGCCTCCTCCTTCGAGAATAGGACTTCTGTCTCAGCCTATCACAATCCTACCCACCCTTCGAAGCCCATCGTAAACGCCATTCATTCCAAGCAGCTTCCCCTAACACCCCTAGCCAATTGCAATCACCCCTTTCTAAATGAATTTTAATTTCCGCCAATTACAACCCCCACCCCGCCACCCCCGTTTGTTTTATGCCTCTGTTGGCAACCTAATCCTGTATGGTGGGCAACTGCCCCCACCCTCGATAACAAAAATACAAGCTCTTGAAGTTAAGGATGGCTTCTTTTTTAACTTTTATTATGGAAAATTTCAAACATACACCAAGTAAACAGAAGGCCTTATTTATTTTTGCATCTCCCTTGGGACCCATCACAGTGTTTTGCATGTAGCAGAAGTAAATTTAAGTAATTAGGGCCTTAGGCAAATGGAGCTGTCTACCCCCACGTCTCCCTCCATGCGTCCTGGATGGTTAAGTGTTTCCTCGGCAACACGCACCGACACACGCAACCCACACACCTGGAGGATCACAGTCAACATGGCTTAAACCAGCTCATCAACTTTCAAGTTCAGGGGAAGTGTTAATCCGTGAGGTTAGTTCAGGCAGTCAGCAAAGGTGGCTGTATTTGAGGGCAGGGGAGAAAAATTTGTCATAATTTTCTAAGAGACCTCTAATCTGTGTGTCTGCGCAGTGTTCTCTAGTGAGGCAGATTTCTTAGACATACAGAATATCCGATGGCTAATTTACAAACAAGAGCGCTCTCCACACATATCAGAATTACAGCTTTTCTTGGCCTTGCATTATCCACGGATACAAATGCCATGTTGCAATGGCCTCCCCTTCTCAAAACATCAACTCCAGGCCCCTAACTCTATTTGTCTTTGTACTCACTTAGACAACAGTTTTTGCTATGACGCTGTGTGTGTGTGTGTGTGTGTGTGTGCACGCGCACACGCACATTATTTTGGGGCGCAATGAAATCCTTAAAGCGACCCAGAATTCTAGAGCGATAGATTACATGCCACGCCGTGTCATATCCAATTAACTCCAATTGACTGTACACTGCATTATTCTGTGAGTGCATGGGAGATCAATAAATATGGGGAAAATCCACCCCAGCTCCCCACTTTCCCATCCGACTCTGGGTCTGAGCAGATCATGCTACTGCAATGTGTGTGCCACAGCCCAGGCAGGCAGGTGGCACATAGACACCATTCAAACTTGGCCTATTCAATCGCAACTCCTCTAACTCGCCATTCATGCATAGCAAAACACCATCTGGTCCTATTTTGCCTCCAGCAATCACAGCTGACCAAAAACGATAATAACAGCTGTTGCAGAACAAAAGCCAAACAAAGGGGGTGGGGGGAAGGCAAGGTTAGATTGAAGTCCGGTGCTGAGAAATGCTCCGTCAAGTGAGAAATGGGAAGGAAACCATTCAGATGTCTAAAGCCTGCTGGACGGACACAGCGGAGGACTCTACTTAAACTTGAGATATTAATCCATCTGTCTCGAAAGCCTTTAAACCTCCGTCAGGTGGTAATATATTGCAGAAATTATGCTGCACGAAGGCATTTAAGCTTTTGTTCTTGGAGTCGGGAACTAATGGCCCCGTGTCAGCTAAAAATGAAAACTCCTTACGTTCTTCCATCCCAGCACAGTGCAGGTTAATGCAAAAAAGGAGAACGTGTTTAGCCAGAGGAATAATGTGCACACGGCAGGGGAAGAGAAAAGGTGTGTGTGATGAAGGTGGGGGGTGCGGGAGAGCCTTGTTAATATCTGTGGACCACTTTTAAGAAGGGAGGCTCACCAGGTCTCGCATTTCTCTGCCTTTTTCATTATCCTGACTTATGTTTCTGACCAGTTACCCAAAAATCCACAGCGAGTGCTTACTTACATGTCAGCCATAGGAACCAGTCCTATGTATACAGAAACTGAAACACAAGTTGATTCACGATCTGCTTTAGCGAATCCTGAGAAAAATAATTTGGCAACAAGGTTGGGGAATTCTTTTCATGATTCAAGCCTTTTGACATTTTAAACATATAGTTTTGCCTGGGGATTCATTTTTTTTCAACTGTAGTAATTAAACTGGTTTGTTTTTTTTTTTCCCCCTTGAAATTGACCGTCAGTGGCTTAGCAACATTTAATCAAATGTGATAAAACCCAAGATTTATAAAATCATTTAATAGATGTTCCAACACCTGCTTCTAACTGCAAACAGTTGAAAACAGACTTCACCTGCAATTAAGTCTTATCACTAGTGACAATTTTTTTCCAAGCAATACTTCATGGGTTTTCAAAATGACAATTACAGAACTAATACACAATTACTGTCACGTGTAGTTTAGCAATTAATTTTGAAGACATTTGTCTAAAGGTTTTACAACAGAATATAAAATGGTTCTTATTGTTATGTAATGGTAGTTTCAACTCACGGAAGCTTTTCTTTTTTTTTTTAGTATCAGCTCTGCCTCCGATGGGTCTGATGCAGGCAGAGCATTTCTTTGTGGAAGACAATTGCCCCTACACTTCGAAGGCTGTTTGAACACTGATACCTGTCAACTAACACATCTGATGAAAAGCTTCAATTTAGACATAAATTCTTCTACAGCAAGAAATCTATAAATTTATAATTAGAATCCCTTGCTGTTCAATATTTGTACATAATACAGAGTACGAGAGGATTATGAAATATTGAAAGCTGAATTCATTATTCATAGCCCACAACATACAATAAATATTCTTTGAAATACAACAACAACTTCGAGGAATCCATACTCCAATAGCTGTGAACATCTCACCCACGATGGCTCCGGATGCCACGACGCACACCCTCCGTTTTTCCAGATTAGGATTCCGGTCAGGGTTGACACTTGCTGTTTTTAATTTTAATTTTATCATAAGCAGTTTAAGACTGTTGCCAGTGGTAATTTGCAATTTTTATCAAGACCTCTTCATTATAGCTTCTGACAGGACAGATGCTGTAATTAATCATGCAAGACAACTGGGGATAGTGGTCGCACTGTCCTCAAAGAGGGGCCACTACAGAGCAAGAAAAGGGGGGAAGAGACGGGCCGAGCAATAATTATTTTGGCTTAAGGATTAGCATTCACCATCCGCTTTTAATGGTGCGCACAACACAAGGTCGGCCAGCTCGCGCCCAGACACAGCACAGTTGCCTGTTCCTCTCCACCTACCTGGCCCCGGTATCTTCGCTGAAAGGTGATCACCAAAAAAAAAAACATTTCCAGTGAGTTTTTTGGGTCATGCCATCCATATTCTCAGCTCCGAAGATGGTCTCTCCAACGATGCTGGGCTCAAATGAAACTGGGCATGAGGCCTGTTTTCCCACCTCACGTGTATTCAAGGACCAAGAGGAGATTTGACATATCATTTTATTTGAAAAGTGAACAGTTTCCTGGTTGTTGCATCAAAATACAGTCCACAGTTTTTACTGAAATGTGTTTATTCTATAGCAAGATAAAAGCATTTTTTTTTTGTTTTAGTTAAGCAAAATACAAACAACTTAATCGCTGCTATCGTAACTCATAAAAAAGTATAAAACAGCATAAAAACACAATAAGCAACGTAGCAATGAATGGTTTATGTCACCAGTGTGTACGTTAAAGCCTCATTTATGAAAACTTTACAACACATATGAAAACTTACAACTTTGAAAGAAAATATTTACATTGATTATTCAGATGTGGTGCGTCTTTTAAATATTCTACTGGTATTACATCATAATAAAAACTCTTGCTTTTTTTTTTTAAATCTTAACTTTTGTAATAACTGTTTTCATTTAAGTGCATTTCCCTTTGAAAAATACAGTGTTTTTATTTTTCGAAACTTGTCACTCAAAACACAGAATATAATATTCACATTCTTTTTTTCTAATTGGAATGAATGTCGTGGGCTAACAGTGGTCATATAGAGCGTTACAACATATACCGCGGTTCGATTTGGAGAAGACGTGGGTAAAAAGTGGACACGAGTCAGTAATTGAATCTAATCACTTGCTTTTTTTTTTTTTTTTCTGGAGAGATTTAGGAAAAAAAATAAGAGCTTTGGCAAAAGTCTGAGATTTACATTATTTTTTTTTTCATGACAAAAAAATGCCATCAACGATTCACGTCATACAAGTGTTTGTATGAAACTGGATCTTCGTATTTCAGGTAGTTACAACTGTGCTTTTTTATTTTTTAGGGCTTCGGAAGTTCAAATAGCCTGGAAGGGCGGTTTATTCACTTCTAGAGCAATAAGGCCACTTCCTAGGACTCAGAGAGGCCAGTTTATAGTCATCGGTCCGTCCCCGGATTCATCAAACGGTTTGATTCACATATTGTAGGTAGAGCCTGAATAAATAAAAAAGGCATCACATAAAAGAGCACAGCTTTTCCTTGTTTAAAAACAAAGGGATTTATCGTCAGCTAAAAGATGATACTCAGCTACACTGTAGTTCTTATTGCCTATCTAATAGACATCGGGAGCACCCCGGGATCTGTGCGTGTCTCCGCGTGACCAACGCCGCCGCCTCGTCCCGGCCACACCGGCTTTACCCTCCTGGGCCGCTCTCCTCGACCCGCGCGGATCCAGCTGCCACACGCGGCTCAGAAAATACTGACCTGGGACAACACCTGAGTCTGTGTCTGAGGCTGGATTTGCGACTGGTGCTGGGGGGCTGGCTGGGGGCTCCCGATGGCGGGGAGCGGGGACGTGATCTGGGAGGTGGCGGGCGAGTGCTGCCGAGGAGAAGACTGGGACTGGTGCTGCATGTGCTGCAGCTGCTGCAGCTGGAGGTGCTGCTGCAGCTGCTGCTGCAGCTGCTGTTGGCTGATCTGCTGCTGCAGCTGCTGCTGCTGCTGCAGGTGCTGCTGCATGTGGTGTTGGAAATGCTGCTGCTGCATCTGCTGCTGGATCTGCTGATGCATTTGGTGCTGCTGGAGCTGCTGCTGCTGCATCTGCTGCTGCTGGAGCTGCTGTTGCTGCTGTTGCTGCTGCAGCTGCAGCTGGTGCTGCTGGGTTTGCACGGAAGGGCTCACTTGGGTGGAGGACGCGGAACCCACCATGGCCGCGCCCATGGAGCTGATGAGCGGGGCCCCAATGTTCGATGGCATGTTGGCCGCGATGGTGACCGACGTGACAATCTGGTTCATGGGGACTCTCATGGTTAAGGGTTTGGGCGCGATCGACCTGGGGAGCGACTGTTGGAGAGTCTGGGGTGATGCTGATACTGTTCCGTGTTGCGACAATGGAGGGTTGAGGAGGAGGGAGGATGTCAGATTGGTGGACGCCAGGGTCTGCTGAACAGAGCGGATGGTCTGGGCTTCTGCGGATTCGGCGGCAGCCTGCGTTTGGGGGCAGAAAGTTGCAAAGAGTTGAAACACACGGGTGCTGAAGACATCGAAGCATCTCTAAGCATTGGAAACTGACCGCAGAAATGGCCACCATTCTTCACACTGCCCGTCAAGCCCTTTGGCACATGACCCAAAGGTGCTGGGGTCCAATTCCTATGCCTGAAGCCCCAGCTGGCCTGCTGCCTTTGCTCTGGTCCACAGAATGGGAGCCAAGGGTGGGTTCAGGGGACTGTGCACCTCCCACTTTCTCTCAGAACCTGCCATCATCAAGTGCACGGGAATAGACACATAACCCACTTATTCAAGAGGCCACTCGCCGAGAGCCAGCCAAGGGCCACATGTGTGTGAATTCCAGCCCCCCCGCCCAGCTGAGAGTCCCAGCCCCCGGCCTGGCCATGCGCTGGCTGCAGACGATCCTGCCAGGCCGGCCCACGCGTGCAGAGCCAGCCAGCTGCCGGCACTCTCTGACCTAACTGTTTTCCTTTCAGGCCACTGGGCTCTGTGGCTGGTTGTTACACAACACCACTGCCGTGTGCTTTAGTGCGATGATTCTTCCACTCTTAAGTCTGAACTGACCTCACCGACAACAGTCACGTATTAAAAGAGCAGAGATTGCTGCCGTGCCAATCTTTGGGCCAGGTCATTCCCCAAACTTATGTTCTTATGTTTCCTTAGCTATAAAATGAGGTTCAATATGACTTACCTTGCATAGAGATTGTGAGAATTAAATTAACTCCTAAGTGTTGGTAAATGTAGCTATTTTTATTAATTCACGGCATCTACGATCAGACAATTATCACTTAAATATAAGAATGACATGACTGAATTCCTTAGTGATTCGAAATGGAAGTACTTTACAACTTCGGAAATGTTTTAATTTACCAAAGATTTCCAGAATTGATCAAAGGGGGTAGAGATAAGGGCAGAAGGCTCAATATCCACGTGAGTGAATTAACTGCTAGAAGGTCCACACCCCATCTGGGGCTCGACGTGGAGAGATCCTCTATTATATTTTGTGCTAAAAACATACAATTATCTGCCCCCAAATAAATTGCTTCACTAACGCAACATGATTGCAACATGACTTATTCTTCACAAAATCTGAGGGTGTTGCATGGGGTCCTGCTAGTATCCTGGAGCCATAAGCTGCTGTCCGTGCTCTTTTAAAGAAAGCTTAGAAAGCTTAGTTCTAGATCTTACTACTCAGTTTTATAAAATCTACTATGAGAAGGAAAGTGCGCTGCTATGGTGAGTCACTCAATGTAGGAAAAAGACAAAGCTGATGGCTTCGGTCTTGAACACACCTCCTCCTCCAAAGGCCCCATCTACTGGTGCACAGCAACCTGGTTATAAAAACCTCCGCGGGGCCTCCCTCGTGGCCTAAGGGTTAAGTCTCAGCACTATTGCCGCTGCAGCATGAGTTTGATCCCTGGCCAGGAGCTGATCCACATGGCACAGCCGACCTCTCCTGTCTCTGACCCACTGCTCCCCTCAGCAGTGGATTTCAGTGGATCCACCTGTTCCTCTCCCCACTCTGTCGCTGGTGAATCCTCTCACCTCCCACACCTCTGGCCTATACCCTAGTTCTTCTATGCAAAACCCAAAAAAGCTATGATCATTAAAAATAAATAAATAATAATAAAATCTCCGTGGGGCTGCCTGTGGCAGGAGGACAAGAAGACCCTGCAAATTACCGATCACCGTATTTTAAAACACAGATGACCCATAATGCAGACCGTAGAAGACATACTTGGGATATATGTATTTGAACTTAATTCTTACAGAACCTAATATTCAAAAATCACCAGGGAAGTCTAAAGTTAGACACCCCATTGAGCCTTTAGGATGTCACCTTAGCTTTAACAGAGATGGGTGGAAGGTTGTGCAGAGCTCCTGCTTGCTGGCCAGGCTTAGTCCCTACTAACTTTTTCATTCCCTTGGTCGCTGGGAAGATTAAACAAAGACTTCCCGACATGGTGGTTCTGGGATCTTAGGATTAAGATCAGAGGCCCCCCCCCAATCCTTGCTTCTTTCAACTATTTGAAGCTGACTTGCTTCTCAGTCCTCTCCATCATGGCAGCAGCTCCCTGGGGACAGTGATGACTGGTCACTAACCCTCTGTAAGCTGAGGGTCCAGAACAGAAGCGGTTCTTCCAGGCTGCACAATTCTAACAGGGGGGTCCCCAGGGAAAGAGGAGGCACCAGGTTCCCTGCCCCACCCACAGGATGGTGGAGCTGAACAGGGCAGAGGAGACCCTGCAGAGGAGACTGGAGAAGGGAGGGAGCAGAATGGGGAGTCAGGAGGAGACCTGGGGGGAGGCACATGGAGCAGAGACATGGGAAGGAGCTGTGCTTGCTTCTGGGCCCTGGACATGGCAGCTTCTATGTTAATTCTGATTTTGCTCCTTCTGTTTCAGACATGCTGGGCCCCTCTACCCCTTCCCTATGGGTCCCCACCAGGAGGTGCCTTAGACTGTGACAGACTTTCAGGCCTCTGTGGCCCAAGCCACAGCCAACTCTGGCTGGGCATTTATCCACGAGGGGATGGGTCACTTCGGGTATTTGATTTGGAAACTTTATTCTTTGTCTTTTTTGTATTGCACGCAAATTGCATTAAAGTTCCTTTCCATTAAAGGTCTTATGCACTAGATTATGTTTTGTCTTGAGGCAGTAGATGGCAGAGCCCATTTAGAAGGGGCAGTTTTGGGGGCTCTGGGGCGCCCCTCTCCCTGCCCTGTCACACAATCAGATGCAGCTTCCTATGCGGGTCACTGTATAAGCAGCTACTTCACACCTCTGGCTCCAGTTGAGATGATTCTAAATTGACATCTCAAAGACTGGCTGAGTTGCCTGCCAGTTCTCTGAATATCCATTTTGGATGCGCTCAAACCCTACTTAATGAAAAAAACAAATAACACCCCCAAACTCCAAACACTAGTTTAGATTTATTCTCTTCAAACTTTACTCCGCTGGTATTTTTTGAGTTGTTGAATTCTATGCAGAAATCCTTCTGAATCCCAATTCTGGGATCCAATGTATAACTTTTAAGTCATGCTTTCTTGTCCGTTTCGGAGCTGATAAGCTCTGGTGGTTGCTATTTCCTAAAGGCCTTTTGAGATACTTCTAAGTTATTAGGCCCTTGGCTGAAATCCATGTTTGGTCAATTATTCATGCTCTAATGCACAAAGATCACCTATACCTTCTTGTGGGTAAATGAATGAATAAATGATCCACTTAAGAAGTACATGCACATTGTTACTCTGTCCACCTCACTCCATCTAATTAGTCATCAACTATATCTCGGTCCTTAACACCTACAGCCCACACATTCAGCTGTTTCGGCCAACGTGCCAGTCTGAGTCCAATGTTGGTGAGTCTCAGATAAAGGTCTTGCTATTAAGCCGATGAATGTTTTCTCGTTCCAATGAAGGAGGGAGTGTCCTAAACACCGTCAACAAAGGCAGGAGGACCTCTTTGTTCTGATTCTGAGCAAGGACAATGGTTGATCTTAATGTCAAGAAACAACTCAGGTGAAGGAGAGAAAGAAGGGATGAAGGCTTCTAAAATGGTCCTGCCCGCAACACCAACCATGCCCTGAGGTCCAGTGTGGGATCCGAGGCCAGAACAGGGACCATGAAATGGGATCTCTGTTTGCCAGAGGAAATACCTCAAGAGCAAAAACATTAGTTCAAATTATCCTCCCCAAAGCCTCTCTAAATTCTAGGAAAGCTAAAGACAAAGCCTATTAAATGTTAAAGTAATATAATGTGATAGCTCATGCTCCTTTTGGATCAAGGTAATAATAATCTAGAGTGACATTTGCTTTGGGATACTGGTGCATTTTAGAATACATCAGGGTCCACTGTATACTCTATGTATAATACATATACATGTCTTTTTAAAAAGTACTTGGAGCATAATTTTACTTTAAATAATCATGAGGTTTATTTATTTATATGATGTGGAACAGTTTGGTCGAAAATGCAACAACTCCTATTACAATAATATAACCACTGCAGAATTTATGTTGGCTATTCAAAAAGGCCTGCCAAATACACCTCCCTGTTTCACGAGAGGGCATGAACGCAGACCTCAGTCCCCAACGACAAGAGAGAGTAAGAGGCTGTTTAAAATGTGCCTAAACAGCTTCAACACAATAAAGATCGGTGGGTCTTTTGGAAACAATTGAGATTCAGCCGGTTAAATTAACTCCTATTTTTCACGCCATCATTCAAGTAAACTCTACTGGAAAAAAAGGCTGTGAATCATTCCAGATGATTTTTCTGGTCAACTGGAAGGGGAGTTGCATTTATGGCTTCAGTGCTCCAGGGCTGTGCCCAACACGTGAGCCTTCCTGAGCCGCGCGGCCCCTGCCAGGCTTACCTTGGAGACGAGGCTGGCCCTGTAAGCGGCCAGGGCCTTCAGGTACTCCTTTTTGGCAGCTTCCGTTTTCCTTTTATACACCTATTAAAAGACCACAATTAGCACCACCTTTAGCAGGCAAAAATCTCAGCCATAAAAAAGGTCACAGCGAAATTCACATAAAAAAAAGCTGGTCTCCACGGCTTTGGTTCTTAAATCTAAACACACACACACATTAAAATAAAACAGAACACGAGACCCTGCCTCCTCAATGGAATACATTTTGATGTTTACTATTATAAACGAGAAAAGATTTCAGGTAACAGCATAGCCTAAACAAAACCACCGAGGGCTTCACGTGAAGGCAATAAATAAGGTAGCCAGAAGAGGAACATTTGCTGCAAATGGTTTAAATTATAGAAAGTAATGAGTTTCTCCATCCATGTCTTCCTAGCCTCACACGCTTCTAAGCGGTAAAAGTCATAAGAATAAGAAACCGACAACAGGTGGGCAGTGTAAAGACGGGAGAAGATGGCAGCCTCGCGCACCCTGCTCCTATTCTGGGCAAAAGAGTAAGTCAGGAGGGGCCTCCCTGGTGGCGCAGTGTGTTGAGCGCAGCACTGTGAAGCTATCCATCAGCCTCTGCAGCGCGGGTTCAATTCCCGGCCAGCCAGGGAGAAACCCACATGGCACAGCTAGACCTCCCCTGGTGTACCCGCTGCTCCCCTCAACAGAGCCTTTGGTCCCTCTGCCTGTTCTGCTCCCCGCTCTGTCTCTGGTGAATCCTCTCACCCTCCTGTGCCTCTGGCCTGTACCCCAGCTCTTGCATATAAATAAATAAAATAAAACTATAAAAAAAGTCAGGAATAGTAAGAGACGGGAGGCTCCCTTTAGTGACTCTGATGAATTACTAAAATTAATTCTAATATAGGCACCACGATCTGGGCTTCCTTGTCTGATAGGCGGGCAAAGTGGGTCATTAGAGCAAAATGACCCTTTTCTCCAGGGTTCAAAGTTCAATGAGGCAGTTTGCCCATCCTGGAGGATCACAAGTGTGGTCCCTACCATGATAACCTCTCTGCCTACAAGCAGGAGCAGGCAAATTCCATGGCTGCACCATCAAGGTTAACCAGCCAGTGGGGATGATTTCACGATCTGTAAAGATCACCCCAAGGTTAACAGACTCATAGGAATGAGCTCATGATCTGGAGAGATAAATCCAGGGTTTTCCATTCTTTATTCCTCCATTACTAACCTGGGTCTATTCTTCCGAGGACATGTGACATTAACTCCTATTAAGGCCACTGGTGTTTCATGCAGAACAAGGGTGTGTGTGTAGGGGCTGGCCTGCCAGGAAGCCATTCTCTCACCATCTGTGTGGAGAGTGATGGAGAAGGACAGGAGTCCAGGCCTTAAGAAGTACCTCCTAGCAGCCCGGCTAATCTCTCCATACCTGTCACACCACTGAGCTTTCAAATGAACTTGGGATGTAATTTCCAATGCCTGGTGACAATAATGAGACATGCAGAGGCAGCTTCAAAGTTTGGAGCCGACCAGGGCAGCACAAGGGTTCGGAAAAATGATCAAATAAAAAAGGCAAGCAGGATGGTCCTAATCCTTCAGCACTCCCTCCCGAACAAAGTGGGGGTGGGGGTGGGGTTCCACATTATTTAAAATGAAAAGATTATCATCAAAAGTTTTGCTTGCAGAATACTGCCAGTACTTCCTCCAGCTTTCCACGGAATGGGTTCCAAACATCATGAAGGGGGCTGAGAAACCCAGGTAACGGGGATGTTTGGATCGCACATGTTCATGGTTTTTAATTCCAGAGGTTAGAAAGGCCTTCACAAGAAGCCATCCTATCCAGCGGGCATTTTCCCTCAACAAAGGTATAAGAGATGGATACTCTGGTGATGTTCACCATGGCCGGGAGGGGCCTTTGCCTCACCTGCTTCTGTTCTTCTCCGAGGCTGTCCCACATCGACGCTACGATTTTTGAGACCTCTCCAAAAGTTGCATTGGGGTTTTGACCTTTAATTGCAGCCTGAGTGTCTCTGAAAAACAGGGCATATGCTGACACTGGCTTCTGGGGCTCATTGGGGTCTTTCTTTTTCTTTTTCTTTGGAGTCTTGGGCTTCTTGCCAGAGTCTGGAGCAGCTCTTTTCTCTCCAATGGCCTGCAAAGCAGGAAGAAAATTCACTGCCTAGAATGTACTTGCAAAGAATGCAGCAAGATTCAGTCAGGTCCACAATTGTTCTTTGAAGGTTTTGTTAAGCATCATCAACAGATGAATCACCACCAAAAGCGAGGGAGGGGTAAATTGGCTTCAAGTTAACTGGGCAGCAGAGATTAGCATTTAGAACACTGATTAATGAGACCCAGAAGCATCTTCAATACATTCACAACATATGCTCTAAATAGCAATTATGAGTAATGGAAAACAGAACACTCTGTACCCGGAGCTGCTATATATAAATATACATATATATGTGTGCGTGTTGTGTGTGTGTGTATGCTGTGCTATGCATGCACACATAAACAAAATATTTTACATTTTCAGAGGTTTTAGAAGTGAACCAAAGTAATATTCAGGACGCTGATCATATTCAGGTATTTTAAATGAGGTCCCTTGCCACAGTCGCACACCATAGGTAGATTGTGGGAATTGATTTTTTTGAGTCCCATTTTTAGTTTGCCAGAATTTTACTTTGCTAATGGGTCTCCGGAAACCGAAATGGAAATTAAGTTACAATCCCTAAGCTTGCACCACAGAGGTAAGTCATCTTTAGTCTCCAAAATAATAACTTTCTAAAGACTAGGGTAACAAGAAATGTAAAAATAAAATAAAAACTTTTACTGCAGAGAGAAGGGAAACTGATACTCTTCATAAAATTAAAACCCTGTAAGAACAACTGTAGGTACTTAAAATCACAAAGTAGATACTTCAAATCTATAAAATTAGAAAGCATTTATTACATATGGTGCGTATACCTAGAAGACAGCTAGAGAGATGCGTGTATTTACCCCATGAACACTGTGAGGTCAAAACCATAGAAATGATTCAGGGTCAGCTCCTCAAATGTACATCCCAGAGCCCCATATTCACCTGCCCCCATCAACTCAGTCCAATGATCCCTAATACGCAATTCCCCCGAGAAGCTGGGGAAATGATGTATCGACCTGGCTCTGTCCCCTAGATTATGACATGACTATATATGGAAGGTCATTCTGCTGTTAACTTTACTGAGGATGCTGAAGTATTTGACAAAATCTGTTTTAAAAGCCAGCCTTGGGCAAGATCAACAGAGATAGGTTCAAGTTACTAACAGATTGTCTTTTAATGGCCTTGAGCCTTGAGTCCTAATTCAAATTTTCCAAGAGTATCATTACTTTCTGAATGAGGGTCATTTGGAACTTAATCCAATTACTAAAATTCGCAGGAAGGAAACTGGTAAGTAACTTGTCTGTGAGAGCTCTGGACCTCCAGGGTATTAGGTAACTCTAGTCCCTCCCGGGCCGACTGCTCCCGCTAGTTGAGTGACAACATCCATCCGCACTTTATAAGGTACTTTACACACTCCAGACCCCGTGACGCCACGTCACCTCTCCCCACAAATGCCATTTTCATAATTCGCATGAGGAGTTCAGTGACTCTGTAGACCTCGTAGTGTTCCCTGCTACATTCTCAGAATAGCTGAAACTTGTTTAATTCTAGTTAATGAATCCGAGTTGCAAGGGAGTGCGATGCCTTTCAGTTAAGAGCTTCAATTTGAGCCAAGTTTTCTTTCATTGAAAAAAAAAATATTACTTTGGCAACAAGAAAAAAATATATATACACATATTTTTCTAATTGAGTCAAACAGCTCTATTCTTTCCTGGAAGAAAACTTAGCAATATCAGAGCCAAGAGCAGCGTCCTGGCCAGTGGAGACATCAAAGCCATTTCCAGGGCCGCGCGGACTCGAACATGGGGAGTTCAATTTCATTCTCTATAAAACAATAATCAGATGTTGACAACCTTTGATGTCTTTCTTGGAAAACCATGACTTGCCCTAATCATCATTCCCTTTTAAGAATAAACCCTAAATAAAGAATCTCACAGTTTAAATAAAAATTTAGAATGAATTCTAAAGATATTTTTGTGTCGTTGACTCAGAAGGGTTGGGTACGGTGGAAAGAGAGACATAATCAAAGATAATTTTCCTCTTCCTTTCTCTGCTAAGTTGCATAAAAGAGAACAAACTGGATTCCTTGTCCTTACACAAAACTGAGATCCTGTGTTAACACGGAGTGAGCCGGAGTGACATCCTATTTAGAGAGGGCGGGAGTCCCCAGAACCCCCCTTCTCTGTGGTTTCACTCTCTGTGGTCTCACTTGCCCATGATCAATCTTGGTCTAAAAATATTACGTTCAGTAAGGTATTTTGTGAGAGAGAGAGACCACAGTCATTTTATTATAGCATGTTATTATAATTATTCCATTTTATTATTAGCTCCTATTGTTAATCTCTTACTGCGCCTCATTTATAAACTCAAACACCGTCCCCGGCATGTACGTAAAGGAGACATACACAGCGCCCACCGGGCACAGCTCGAGCTGTGGTTTTGGGCACCTGCTGGGGATAATTGAGATGAAAGGAAGCCATGGAGCTGGGGCGTGGCCTGCTGGAACTGAGCTCGAGCTTCTTCCACCACCGTTTCTCCTTGCATCCTCGTGAGTGTGGCTGTGACGGCCAGGCACGTACACGTCTATGTCCAATGGGCAGCCAACGACATGATGAGCCAACCCTCCTTGAAACACCCCCAGAGCTCTCCCCGCTTCCATCACTTTCCATCTGCTCTAGCACCTCTTCTCCCCTAGATACTCAAGAAGCAATGAGGCTGGCCTTGACTGGCCGCACACTCTGAGAAATCCTGAGGATTTCCAAGTCTTCGCATCTGTGTGTTAAAGGGCCCCGTCTACACTGCCACCTCCAATGAACTGAGCTTTGGTCCCCAAAACAAGCACCTCAAATTCATGCCCAGAGCAGGCCAAACGCTTTTCTTCACCCAGGGAAAAAAAAGCAACACGCCTCGCTTTCTGGGTTCTCTCCTTCGGTAACCCACGCTGGCCTGCAAACGCACAGCCCACTTTTTACCCCACCCAGGCTCAGGACATCAACAAGCTTTGGTGACTGTCCCTTTTAAATGTCTCACGAGGCCCAACGTCCTGTCATCCCTTCCTTTGCTAACATCAAACATTTCTAAACAAACGGATCTTTAAATTGGTTTCTTCCTCTCAGCTCTCCTCCTTGGTCACACTTTCTCCAGGTAGCCAAAGGAATGTCCAAAAGCCTAGATCTGCCTCTGCCATCCGTCTGTGCAGCCAACTCAGCCACTCTCAGCTCCCAAGAGCAGAGGCTACCACGTTTCGGCCAGTTCCTCCGTCCCTCCTATTTCTCTCCTGCCCCATAGCAAACCGTTCACGAGATCTGCAAATTGGCAAGTGTTTCTTTTACTCTTCACTGTTCCCTCCACCAGCATGGCCGCCTCTCTCTTCTGCCTCACAAACTTTTATGGACCCTTGTAGACCTAATTCAGATATCACCTTCTCAATAAAGTCTCCCTCAAATCACTCTCTCAAGCAGAATCGATTACAACCTCAGCACAGCAGATCCATCAGTTATACTAGTAATCACATCTGATGCTGGTCTTAAACAGACTACTCACCCCCAGTAGGAAGTCCCAGGGGCAATGATTATCTTACCAACCACTGGAATCAAGAACACCAGGCACACAGTAGGTGCACACACTGCATAAGGAATGAAGAGTTAGTAACATGTACCTAGATTAAGTAACTTCAACGAATCAATACTTTTCTAGGCACACCTGCAGCTGAGTGTTTATTTCCAAACATATTTGGATACTGCCCATGTTCTGTGAAAAAAAGCAAAGCAGTGACACAGATGATAACCTACTAAGTGCTAAATACCACCCGCTGAAGGTGTGAGGCTGTCACGTATGGGAGCAATTCAGCCAGCCGACCGGACAGAGCTGACCCACATGGTCAGTTACTGGGACATGGGCAGTTCAGAGTTTCCGGAAAGCCCAGTGCAAGCCTTCCCTCTTGCAGAACAGGAAAGCAGCCTAGGAGAGCTAAATGAGTTGCTCAGCATCCCATGGCCAGTAGGAGTCAGAGGCCCCAATTTCCAGTTGAACACAATTTCCACAGAAAATAAGTCAAAGTGAAGACAAAAATTGCAATCACCATTGCCTTTAAATGCTACCACCCCATGAAGCAAGAGTACCCTGAATGAAATGCAAAGACATAAACGGGGGCACCCCAACTCTGGGGCGGGGGCCGCACGGAGGCACTCAACTTACTCTGCTGGACTCATCGGCGTCCTCCTCGTTGATGGAGCTGGAAGGGGAGGGAGTTGCCGACTTGCTCGCTGGAGGAGAAGGAGACGTGTGGGGCAGGCTGGCGCCGCCCAAGTTCAGGCCCAGCTGGGCGCTGAGCTGAGACTGGTTGATGGTGGTGAGCTGGGCGGGAGGCATGGCCCCCGAGCGCGCGGCGTCGGTCATGTGCGCGATGGAGCGCATGATCAGGGAGGGGTCCTGGCGGTACTGGGACACTTGCGTGTGGCTCTGGTCCTGAAAATGCAAGCGAGGGAAAGACGCCATCAGTTCTCCCACTCTGGACACATGCGCTCCGTCAAAGCTGGTGCAAGTCGGCTGGGTCGGCTCACGCCCAGAGGATGGTCTTCATTTATTAACTACCAGGACACACGTCCAAGAATCGAAAGGCCGAAACCACAAACCCTAAATTACCCAGCACACTCAGTCTCACCAGGGCCATCCCTCGGTGACTTTGTGGAAAAGGACGATTATCCAAGGAATGGAAACTTCTACTTTTGCTTCCTCTCAAGGAAGAGCGGGAGAAGATGCCTCACCCACGTGAGCACTCGGGCTCGGCCACCCTGTCCCCGGCCCGCAGAGATGGGCTTCGGCGCTCATCCTGCCAGGCTCACACGCCACACGCAGGGAGCATGGGCTGAAGCACAGAGCCAGCATCCGCCGGCCCCAGGAAACCCTCTGTGGTTAACTGGGTCACTCCAATCCCGAATTACACCATCAACGGTATCTGGAAGTCATTCGATGGCTTTTGGATTGGGTGTCACTTTTTTTTTATCTTAAACCTGCTTTCTTTTCTTTTGTTCAACCCACCATGACTTAACCTTCTAATGGATTTTTAAAAATATGTATGAGGAGGAGGGAGGGTCATCAGAATTAGCCTTCTCTGAAAGCGACTGCAGTCACCCCCAACTTGTCCCCTCTGGTTTTGGCAAGGTTTTAGGGTTGTTGCTGCTACTTTTTAATTCCAAATTCTCAAAAATGAAGACAAGCTCTTTTAAACGACTTACTTTGAGACTTGTCATTTAGAGTGAGTATGTGATTTTATTGAAACCAAATTCTCTTGACTCACAGTGACCCAGAATCTAATTTTATACACAAGCCTATGAGGTCTTGAGTTTTCTGATAAGGTTTACTTTTGCTCTTTAAAGAAACAAATTGCAAATAACTAAACTGGAACATTTGGTTTCATAGCATTAAATATATAAATGACACTAAATAAAAAGCCCCAGCCATGAATAGGAAGCTAGTTGAATAAATTACGGTCTTCATATACTACAAAGTTATTATGAAGCTTTTTAAAATAATGAATTAGATTTATGTGTACTGACCTAGAACATGGCCTTTTAATCTTGGTTCTACTGACATTTTGGATCAAATAATTCTTTGTTATGGGTGTGTTGTTGGACATTCAGCAGCATCCTTGCTCTCTACCTACTAAATGCCAGTAGCAACCTCCTTCTCACCACTAGTCATAATCAAAAAGTCTCTGGACTTTTTCCCCTGGGGGATAAAATTGATCAGAGTTGGGAACAATGACCAAGAATGACATACAAGATAAAATAAGTGAAAAAGTTAGTTGCCAAACAGTTACCTCTTTGTGTTTATAAAATAAAAAAAATTTATCCAAACTCTTAACAATGGTTACATTATAAGAGGTAGGATTAGAGGGGTAAGGAGGGGAGAGTCTTGACCTTTCCATTTATAAAAACAAAGCAAAATAAAAACTAAAATACTTTAGTCAGGAAAAATGTCAAGCAATACAAGCTGTTAAAACAGGCTGTAGCTTATGGCAAGGGTTTAATATTAACTATATAAAATTTCCATTTCTTAATAATTTCTGAGTCATAAAATTGCCATGGAATCCTGGAGAAATGTGTCACACATATCAGAACAATCCTATTCTTCCTTGTCTCACTGACAATATTCTCTTCACCGTTCCTAAAATATTACATTCTGTTGGCAGCCATCTTTCTGCATACTTGTATCACAAAATTGGAGTTTATGTAATCATTTTGTCCTAATATTTTTGATTAGAATTCTAGCATATTTTTGGCAACTTCTCCTTTAAAAACGCAAGCGATCTGTCCACTCTTCCACATTCTTTTTAAGTTCAACCACTGCTTGCAGACATCACTTCCACGTCCCTGGATTTTGGCAATGAAGCTCTCATTTTTCTTAATTCTACTCCCCATGCATTTCCTCCTTCTATAGAGAGTTCTTTTAGACTTACTTAAATCTAGATATTTTCAAGTATCTACAGGCAACTTCCGGAGTGCATTTAGATTAATAAGTCTAATTCTGGTTGAATAATAACAAATTAGTTAACTGCCATGGCCTTGAAGTATGGTGATAGGATTTAATGCACTTTCTCGTTAAAGGGGAGTGACTTTGTCTCCGGACTGCACTGCCTGTAAAGATCAGCGTACACGGCGTATGATTGAAACAACCCACACTAACAGCACTTTAGCTGGATCTCGTGGTAGAAGAGCATCCTAAAGAGTGTTCTCTCTCTCACATACACACACCAGTTTATTCTGAATTCCATCTGCAACTTTTGCCTAATGGGCCTGGTAGCTTGGGAGCTCTTATTGACCAACAGCTCAGTTCACTGTACTAAAAAGGAGCATTTACAATGTTTACTGAGTGCCAGGATTTGTGCTAAGTTTAACATGCATTTTTCCAATCCAGTCCTCTAAATAGCTTTCTGAATTAGATACCATTATACTCATTCTCAGAGAAGAGTGGTTGCAGGCCACGGGGCTGGCTCGTGATTGCTTGATGGAAAAACTGAGCTCTAAAGCAGCCCTGGTGTCCCAGCATAGAGACATGTTCTGGCCCAGAGACAGGCTGACAGGGGGGAGGCGGGAACTGACAGCGAGGGTGCTGGCTCTCTCGCCATCACCCCCTTTTAATGAAGGCAACTACATTTGTTTTATACATTGAGATTCCTCACTAAAAAGGGGGGTTCTGGGACTCCCCTGGTGGCGCAGGCGGTTGAGCACAGCACTGCGAAGCTGTTCGCAGCCTCTGTAGTGCTGGTTCGATCCTGGCCGGCTGGTGAGAGTCCCACATGGAGGGGTGGACCTCTCTTGTCTCGCCCGCTGCTCCCCTCAGCAGTGTATTTCATCAGTCTGCCTGTTCTGTCCCTGGAGAATCCTCTCACCCTCCCGTGCATCTGGCCTGTACCCTGGTTCTTGTATAAATAAATAAATAAATCTTTAAAAGAAAGGGGGGTTCTTTTATAGTGTGTGTGTGTGTTTAGGGGTTGAATTCGAAGAACTCTGGTGGTGGGGTGAGGGGTATGGCCAACACTTACAGCCACCCATGAAGTCGCCAGATCCCAAAGAGAAAAGAGGGAACATCACCTTTCTTATCTCCCACAAGACAATATACAAGGACCTCTAAAATATATTCAAGTAACCTCTGAACCACATAATCGATGCATCAGAATGTGCTGGCGTTTTCCATGGTCCACAGTTACTGGTAATAACTTCCTTCAAGTTAGGGTTACAGGATAATAAGATTAATGGTAAAAGTGTCTCTTTAGAGATTCAAGTTCCTTTAAGGCTACCAATTATTAACAACTGCCTTGAGGAACTCCAAGGTCCTGAACAGCACCAACCATTTTCCATAAAAGAGTAACTTTTAAAGAGGTTTCCTTTGATTACAATTTCGATTTAAAAAGAGAAAGTGGCCACTTTTCAGCAGTATTTACTGAGCACCTCTATGCTCCAGGCCAGAGAAGTCAGTGGACTGACGTCTGTATCTTTCAAAAGAACAACATCACCACGGGATTCTTTCACACACCAGTCTAGTTAGATGTGACTTCGAATGGCCTAATTCTCTATGACAGAGGGTAGGCAAGAACAATTCCTCTAGACCTCTTAAAAATGGCTTAGTTTTCCTAGTAGTAGTGATGACATTAGGAAATGGATGAACATGGAGGTAGCCCTAGTGAGAGCTCGTGCCTTTTGCAAGACCCCACCTCTCACTAATTAAAAGTAAGTCTTTGGAAGGTTTACCAATGACCAATGAGAGGCAAAGTGACCAGGGGATGACATGGATTGTCATGATCCCATCCAACAAGAACATCTGAAGGCTGGGAGCTTGTAAGTCCTTTCACAATTATGTTTTATATGCAAAGCTACTCATAGCATTTCCTGAATCGGTCTCTCTCTCCTCTTGGTCTCGCTCTGTCCCTGATGATATTTAGGTTTCTCAACCTGATCAGGAAAGAGATTCTGCTCTGGGTTTTTTTTTTTTTTTTTTTTTTTTTCCCTGGGGTGGTGGGGGAATCCTCTGCCTTATAGGTAAGGGCTTCACAGTATCTCTGTTCTTTACCAACCAGATACCAGTAGCCTCCACCCCACCCCAAAAAAACCCTCCCAGGTTGTGATAATCAAAATGTCTCTAACTGTGGCAAGGGACAAAGTCACCCTTGTTTGAGAACTGTGTCATTTAGGCAAATGTAATCTGGGAAATCACCTTCGGTGGGTAAAGCGGTTAACGTCTATGTTCTGTCCATAAAATGGAAAATGTGCAAGAACAAGTTTCACTCTGTGCTAACTAAGGTGAAGAAAACAAATAGATTGTACCAAAACCACTACATTTGATTAGGTCAGTAAGAAAGACTCCAAGAGGACCTCTGAGCTGATATCTAAAGGATGAAGAGCAGTCAATCAGCAAACGAGGGGAAAGTATGTTCCAGGCAAAGGGAACAGCATCTGCAAAGTGTGAGAGGAGAGAGCTTGGCATGCTTGAGACATGAAAAGGAGCAGCGGAGGCAAGGAGATGAGTGAAATGCAGCAGGGTGGGAGGGATGGGAATGGTCCAGATCATGGAAGGTGGGGAAAGCGGGGTGAGGAGGTCACCCATTGAGCTGAGGTGCAGAGTGAGCAAAACCGAAGAGGGAAGAGCATCCCAGGCAGGGAAGAGCATTAACACAGGCCTGGGCCATGAGGAAGCACTTCAGGATGAGTCAAGAAAGGCCAGGGTTACTGAAGCAGGAGCAGCACAGCAGGCGTGAAGCTGGAGAAGTAAGGGACAGCCACACAGTGACGGCTTCTAGTCCATCTGAGAAACAGGATTTAGCTACAGTGTAGAAGGATGCCACCGAACGCTGAAAGCCTGAGCGTCTGCCTACTGGGGTTCGTCATTCCCATAAACATAACTTACACTTTCTGGGCAAACCATCTAGTTCAATTGAGGGTGACTGGATTTGTTAGGGGGAAAAGGCT